GTCGCAAGGAAATGTGTTCGCGACGGTGGCTACACCGCCAGGCGCGCCGCTGACCGACAGATGGGAATTGCCCGACGGCTCGCTACCGGAAGAGGTCGCTGTCCGTTCTCGAGGAGGGTTTTGCTGCAAGAAGTTGGAACTCTCTCCAGTGTTCGCGCATGGGGCTGCGGGCAAGGGGTGCGACAACGGCTTGTGCTGGCGACCAGCCGCACCATCCACGCAGTCATCCGCGCCTGCATCATGATCAGCATCATGATGCGCGCCGCCAGCAGAGCGCGTGCTCGGCAGCATGCCGCTCACCTCCTTGCATCAACGACTGACCGCTGCTGTGGTGGCCAACGGTGGAAGCCACGCTATGCAATGCTCTCTCTAGAGGCTACGTGTCGATAAGGTAGCACGGCCGCCCTGTCCGTCCTTCACAGCACGCGCACCTCGTGCGCGGCGTGCGGAGAAATGTAGCTACAGCGCCGGGGTTTCCCCACCCCAGGAGAGCTTTGTGAATAGAACCAAAAAGAGGTTCACCGAGGGAGCGCGCGCACGCGCATCTCCAACCAATGAGGAGACAGTAAATTTAGAAGTAAAGATCCCTTCGCACGGATGGTAAAATGTACTGCACAGGTGCTCTGGCCCGCACAATATCTATCGGCTTGGCTTGGTTTCCGCGTGCAGAGATGTGGCTCAATAGATTTCAGATTGTTCCTTGCGCCCGACTCCCTGAGAGGATACGTCCCTCCCCTGGCACGTATCTAGCATTCGTTCGCAAATCTGGAACCTCCCACGGTGCACTGACCTCACATCTACTCGGGTTGGGGCTCAAACCAGGATGCACATAAGCGTGCGCAAACTTTTTGAAGTCCTCTTCTGAGGGACATACGCCTACACGCCTACAAATAGAATACACGTTCTAGTGTACCCCATCCATCCAAGTTACGAACGGTTAAAGGCGGGTCACCTCAGAAATCCAGCAAGCCAATGTTGGATTAAAATACCTAGACTATATGTAGAAGAATTTGTTCGAGGAAAAGACACTTGGTTGCTTGTCTCGCAATCTTGTGTGTGAAGTAGTAGCGTATTGGATGTCAGGCCTACTACTCCTGTTCGCTATGGCATGCGTTCCACCAGCGAAGGTGATGAATATTTGGCGTTCGCAGTTCAGGGAGGGTTTGTCCTGGTAGCGCAGGGGACGCACAAATTTTTTTCTTCAAAACTACTTCCCTGAAGTACAGTATTTCTTTCTGGATACACCATTTAGATTAAGTCTAGCATATGTTGGTGATCGGAGACTGACTGCAGACCAAACGTTGCTGTAGACTCGGAACACCCGCTTTGTAATGCCGCTGTGTAATCTGTAATCCCGCCGTGTACTTACTCACGACACATCACATCATATGCTTTTTGCCTCGGTCTTAAATAACTGCTGTCTGCTGGAGACTTTTACCCACTTCAGCATCTGTCACAAAACTTGTGGCGGCTTCTTGGACACTGGCGGCCGGAGTGTTGGCTCGACTCAAAGAAAGGTGGGTCTACATGTAAGATGTTACGCCAGGACATCGCCAACTGACAATGCCAACGCCATGCCATCGCATCGCAGTGTAACAGGAATATAGCGAGGTCTACTCCTAGGCGCGCTGCGACGAACCCAACCTACTGCATACAGCGAGAATCAAACACGTCAATATAGTCGAGTCAGTAGCGATCGCGGACCTCGGATGACGGTGCACCGACAATGATTGGTTGGTGTAAAGTGTGGGTCTGTCTGGTGTTGTTACTGGGAAAACGCCACCTCGGGCGTATCACACATTGTTATACATGGTAGACTTTTGTTCTTGACCAAATGACAATCTCCGATCGGCAAGGGAAACCTCGGTCTACACCAGGCTCCTCGCCGGTCCTGTGTGTCCCCCGGGACGCCGCGATGATGGTGTTTTTCCCGAACCATTTTTTTTTCTACTCACAAGTCAAACTGCCGGGGGGCGCCCCCGCCGACTGCTATTTCAACAGTCAATTGTCTCGTCCAGCGCTTAGCGCCAGGAGACATAAAAACTCTACATATTTTTGGAGATTACATTTCAGCTTTAGCAACCCCGTCGGGCAATAATGTAGCGCGAGATCGAGGTGCTGGCAGTTTTACGATTTGAGCACACTCTTCCCGCCGAGATTTTTGTTGAACCAGCGCAGCAGCAAAGTGTGCTTCCCTTGGCGACAACTACAGCACGCCACACTCAACCACACTGCTCGAAGCTGCCGGAGTCTACCGATATGGAGTGTGAGTGGCGTCGCATGACTTGACAGCAGCAACAGACAACCAGAAACTTTTCTAGAGGTGTCCTTGTGAACTGTATTATGTATGTACTTGACCAAAACGCCGGTCGGATCATGTCATCATCATGTGGTGGTAAAATTGTACGCGTCGCCGTCGTTCTCCACGTACGTGTGTATGCCCGTCAACACACGGATTGAACACCAATCAATGTAGATGGTTCACCGAGTGTTCTCAAGATGCGTAAACATGTAGAGGCTTTGGATTTGGCACATTTTGATTTTTCTATCTACGGCGCAAAACGTTGTACTGTAAAACAATTGATTAAAATGCTTGGCTTCAAGTTGGCTTTCTTCCAAGGCCAGGCCCTCCACATGGAAATTTCGAAATTTCCAGTTTTTTTTTTTTTGATCTTCACTTCAAATCAGCGCTCACAGCACTAGTGCCGTTTATTCCAATCCGTGGTCACACAGAAGAGCCTCTCTCTACCCTCCCCTCCTGCGGTACTTCGCCTTCAATTTTTAATGCGAGAAGAGTTCAGCACTCTCTTCCCTCTGTGTACACACGAACTAGCGCTATCCACTTGGCCAGGAGCGGAAGCGAGAGAAAAACTCACTTTGCAAGAAAAGCTCGCCTACGCCGGGATTCGAACCCCTGACCTGACCTCTAGAAGGTTACGAGGCTACCAACTAGACCACACCGGGGCGACCGGCATTGGGTACACCTCGGGGAAATCCCCGCCGTTTTTTTCCCGCCGTGGTGGGCGGTCCCGGTACTGGCGGTAATTACCGCCACATTCGATGGTACCGGGAACCGCCAAAGGCGGTACCGCCGAAAAACGAAATACCGCCAACCGCCTAGTAAGTACGGCCATATTGCAGTACCGCCGAAAAACGAAGTACCGGAAACCGCCTAAAAAGAACCGCCATATTGCAGTACCGCCAAAATAGTACCACCATACTACAGTACCGCCGTAGAAGTACCGCCATACTACAGTACCGCCGTAGAAGTACCGCCATGTCGCACAAGCCTGTGAGGTTGTCGCACCTGGTAGAGAAGTAGGCTGTAAGAGTATGCGAAGGCGATACTCCGCGTAGAACAGCGATTCGAGTCCAGCTGGCCTGCATCCTCGTTCATCCTTTTTCTCTTTCTTTTTTCTCTTTCGTCATATTTTTATATTTTCTGTATTTATTTATTGTTATTTTTTTTCAGGGTACACCTCGGGGAAATTCCCGCCGTTTTTTTCCCGCCGTGGTGGGTGGTCCCGGTACTGGCGGTCATTACCGCCACATTCGGTGGTACCGGGAACCGCCGAAGGCAGTACCGCCGAAAAACGAAGTACCGCCTACTGCCAAAAAATTACGGCCATATTGCAGTACCGCCGAAGAAGTACCGCCGAAAACCGAAGTACCGGGAACCGCCTAAAAATAACAGTACAGCCAGAAAAGTACCGCCATAATTGACAGTACCGGGAACCGCCAAAGGCGGTACCGCCGGAAAACGAAATACCGCCTACAGTAAAAAAATTACGGCCACATTAAAGTACCGCCCCGCCTGAATCCGCCTAAGAACCTAGTACCGAGGTGTACCCTGGAAATTTCGGAACACCCCAGCCCCCCGGGCCAAGATTGCAGCGCAATATAGGGGGTATAGGCTGCACGCTTGCACACGGCGATTTTGGCGCCGTGTGCAAGCAGAGCGTCGACCTGACGAAGTCAGGCGGTCAACTACGGTGAAGTGATCACACAGCAACACGTTGGGCACATCTGCTGGGAGGGTGTTGGCACAGTCGCCCCCCTACTGCTGTACATATGTGTACCAGTCTAATCTACCCGACCAACATGCTTGGAGGGAGGATTTTTTGGATATAAGACCTATCTCTTGTGGGAACACAATCTTGTCGATAAATCGGATGTCCGTGATGTGTTAGTTTGTTTTGATTGTCTCGCCAGCGGTTGGTCACACAAAATACAAATCCAAGGAAAGTGCAACCTGTTGAGAGTCTCACACGACACGCAGGGTTCGGAGTTCGGTGAGCGACATAGAGGGACCCATCCATCCACGGGTTGGAGTATTTATTTATTATACAACGTGTGAGAACAGGATCAAAAAGAGTTGTCCTTGTGTCTTGAGTTGAGAGCACCTCCAAAGAAGCTTGACGCGCTTCTACTCTCGAGTGTTGACGTGCATTGCGCTGATAATATCATTTCAAACCTTTGGTTTCGGCACGACAATACTCATCCGCTGTGAACGGCATTGGCAATCATTCAAGTAGGCTAAAAACTTGCAGCCCGCCAAGACAAGCTGGTATCGTAGATCGCCACCGTGACAAGATGACCGTGTTCTCAACTCAGTAACGTCACAAACACTTGGAGCACGCACGTTTTCTAGCCGTTGATCGAGGGTTAGGGTTAGTATTGTCCGACACAAACCGACCCACGACAAAAAGGAGAAAAAAAAATAGCCGAACAACAATTGTTGGTATGGACGGGAGATACTCCGGCATCCCTCTTGACCTACTCCCCCAGCAATACCCATGCCACCCACGCGAAAAAACTAGACAGCAACAGCCCCAGAAGCAGCAGCTGATGAGGTCGGCGACGGCGAAGAACGAGTCGAACTGCTAGATCCCGCCCCTGTCCTTGTTTTTTTTTGCCTGGACCCAGCCTCGGGGGGCGACCCGTGCCCTCGGTCAACTCTGTCACCGCTTTAACCTCTTCTTCGCTCAACTGAAACGATGCTACGAACTCCTTGTGAGGGAGAATTTCGGGGCTGTCTGGGCCACCGTGCGCGTGCATCACGTGCACCGGCATGCAGTACTTCCACACGACTACCGTCTGGTTTCGCAAGCGACAAGCCGAGCAGTCCATGGGCACGTTCGTGCACGGGGTTCGTGGCGTAGAACTTTGCCGCCGAGGACAGCCTCAACTGAACGTCGTTGGTCAGCGTTGCCCCTTCCTTCCTCGGGACGTAACGGCACTGCGTGGATATCTTCTTCGCCTCGTTTTTGTTGCCCTTCCCGACCAAGGAGACTGGGCACGTGCCGGCAAGTCCACAGAAGCCGCACCGGTCCTGTCGCATGTCCCAATCAGTGATCTGGCCAAAAACAATCGGTGGACAAAGGGAAGGTCAGGATCCTGTCATGTCCTTGAGGGGGGAAGAAGGCAAACGAGCGCCTGCGCAGAGGGAAGCACGGTACCACCGTATGCCCACAACTGCATATTGCAAAGACCCGAAGCAAGCAAAATTACCCCAAGGGTGACCTACCCTCAAAATCCACGGACAAAAGGTCACTCACCCTCAGTGGAGTTTGCAGCAGGTGACGTTGAGCGACGTGTGCCCGCATGTCGGCAACCGTCACCGTGTCAATCCCGCACAAGAAGCATTCGACAGTCGACATCGCTCCTCGCGTCCTAGCGAGAGCAACGCTGGAACCCTTCGCAGAGGCCCCAACGTTCTTCATAAGACTAAGCTCATACGGGAATTCAGCCGCCTCGTCCTTGACAATGACGGGTAGGTTGTCCGCTGCGTCAGACCTTTTGTAGTCTACCACGTCGTTGACCAGCTGCCACAGGTCCTGCAGATACGGCAGGTCGAAGAAGAAGCCGGCCTGGCTCTTGTTCATCGGCGGATTCACAGGGTGTACATCCGCCGGCAACAAAGAGTAGGTCTTGCTTCTGTGGGCCTTCTTGCTCGTGCCTACGTTGCTTCCGCCGCCCCCCTCCCCTTCCGTTCCTTCTCCCACTTCCTGTACACGCGGCGAGATCAGTTAGCACTGCGGGGTTCTGTCGTACTCTGTAGGATAGGCAGCAGTCTATGCGCCCTGATTGCTCCGACTGCTGGGAGCTGTCATGGGTTTTAGGAGAGAACTCGATCTGTCTATTCGACATGAGGTACGCGCTACAAGGGATAACCGTATGCAACGTTTGACACCACCATGATGTATACGAAGTATAAATGTACACGAGAAAAAACAAATGACACCGTGTGAGCGGCTGTGTGGTACGGGTAAGGTGGTCGTTGGCACCTTTTTATTTGATTGAACTTCAAGTACTGCTGCTGTTAAGGGCCTTGTGGGGGGCGCCAAACAAACAAGGGTGTGTGGTTACTTACGTAGTTTGCACCCGATACATCACCCCCTGTTCTGAATGCTAAAGGCCGATTACTCTGGAGTGCAACAGTGACGGTTCCGAAAATTGCGGCATTGGAACCGTCTCCTCGAGAACTTTCCCAAAACGTACTGTTTGGTGTCGACATCCTCTTCGTCGTGGAGTACTCGAGCTTTGCAAATCAGTGCAGGGGGTGCGGCAGACATGGCCTCCAAGATACGGGCGTACAGGCGCACACTGGCTGTGTGTAGGTTGCCGTTCGCGCGAGGGCGCGAGCGCGGTGAATAAAGCGCGCGAAAAGTGTCGAAACCCCGGGGATTTGGTCAAAATGTCTCCTCCGGGGACAAACAAGGCCCACCCCCCCCCCCCCACCCCCCCCCAACCACCAAAATTTTAACCCAACCCAAAATTTTTCCCAAATTTCCCTATTAAAACCCCCTTTTTTCTTCCATTTTTTTTTCCTCCCCCCCAAATCCCCCTCCTTTTTCCTTCAATCCCCTTCCTTTAAATTCAAATTTTTTACATATTTTTCTCCCAAACCCCCCCTTTTAAAAACACAATTACCACTAATCTACTATTAACTTACCCTAATCACCCCT